TTCTTCCTGACGTTTCGTCCACAACTGCGGTGGACATTATCAAAGGCGATGAGGCAGTGGGCGAAGTGATCTCCCGTGCTTTCCGACTAAGACTGGTATTTTGATTGACAATCGTAATTGACAACCCCTCCAAAGGAATGACGCCAATTTGAAATCACCCTGTAGTTGCGGAAAAAGTGGAATTTGGAGTTAGAGAGATTTAAACTGCCACCTACATTGTTTGCATACTTATTTGCCCTTAACTCCGCAACTGCTGCCATATAATAATATTTCAAAAACAAAAAATGGACTGAGGTGCCATAGGTATTCGCTGGAGTTCCGCTGTCTTAAAAGAAACCACATTGCTTGATAACAATCGGTTAAAAGTAGGAGCAAAATCCGTGTTTAACAGTATTTCTTCCGTTCACTTTTCAATTGCTCTCTCAAAATGACGCGGAACATTTAAAAAAAGTCGTTATATAAAATTCGCCACACAAAATCCACAAATATGCACCTGCGAGCAGCATAAATGCTATAAAAAAACTACACCCCTGGTTTCCATCTACTTTTACAAAATTGAATACTATGCGGATCCAGGTCGCCGAAAATTCTCTAAAACTAAAATTTTTTGGAAAAAGACTCATTGAGTGGCGGTTAATCTGCTTAAAATCTTGATATGGACCACTTGCAGCCTGAAGGACGCTAGATGGCAAAAAATGTTGGCCGCTAAAATTCCCTTGCATGAATCGTTTGGCAAATATAATTTGTTTGGCAATCTGACAAAAACAAGCAATGAAGAAGTCCCACCTACGTTTAAGCATTTCGATCTGGATCCTGCGCTATTTCCACATTAGAATACAGCCAAGATTATCCGCCAAGACAATAAAAAGTATAGTTCACAACGGAAAGTTCAGAGTTTTACATATGAAAAGAGTCTTCTGCAGAGAACCTCATTGATTCGTTAACGTATAATATCTGAGTGTAAATTATGTCTACAGCAAGAAAATTCGAAAAATTTCAAAACTCAATTCAAGATCCAGAACGTCCCTCGTCGTTCCGTATGGAATAAATATGGCATGCAGCATTATGATAAAATAAAAGTCAATAATATGGGACTAAAAGCTCTACATCTACATGGCAACCACCTTGACGAAAAGCTGCATCTTGCCACCTGGAAAGACAGAAAAACATTCTATAGTATTACAGAAACTTAGTCAAAAATTTGATTATTTGACGAAATGAACACAGGCAATAAAGAGAAATAAAAAATGCCATCAACTTCAGTTACACATTTATAGATTAGAATTAATTCTGACCAGCTTTCTGCAAGCTGGTGCCCCATCCTCTATTTTCTGCCCATTAATCCTCAAAAAAGGTCACTCTTGATCAAATAATAAAGATGCACTCCGAATTGAAAACTTTCTTTCCGTTAACAGAGAAGGGCTATTCTAGCACACTAGCGTTTTTCGCACGAATTTATCCGTTATATGTTCATAGACATACAATGCCGTCTTTGAATAAAGGACAGACGACGTATTTTGTTCATTTCCCGTATCAAATTGAATATTTAGTCACATTTTCCGAAAAAACTGAAGGGATATTGAAGCATTTACCACATTCCGAAGGTAGCGAACTTCAAAATTAACGTGATGATTGTTTGCTTGATCATCCCGTTAGAAGAGTTTTGTGAAAGTGCCTGTTCGTACGCAAATATTTTCAAACGCAAATTTCGGATTTAAGCTAGTTTGGATGGTCGCCGTGTACAAAACAGGTTGTCCAGCCAAATATGAACATTTACAATCATGGAGCTGTACAGACTTTTTCACTATAATTAAATCCTGTCGGACTTTTGTTCGATTTATATGACACTTTCAGATTTTTCAGCTGGATATGTTGTGTACAGCCATAGTTAGATCTTCATTTAATGCTCCAACGGAATACGAAACTTGCATTTCACACAAGCCCTCGATTTAGCATTTGCTCAATTTTTATGAAACAAATTAATGAAGTAAATTTTAGTGAAACAGCTGGATGTGTCGTGCAAAAATGATCTAATAATAGTCATCTAATCTAAAAAGAAGATGCACATTCAAACTCTCCTCCTCATTAGAAGTGGACTTCGCTTTAATTTTGCACGAGTTATCGGATCAGCTTTTTGCCGATTTTTTTAGAGCCTCAATGACAGAAAAGCCCTTATGTGCTTAAGTAGGTAGTAGTGGTACTTAAGGTGAGTAGAGTTTAGGTATCAGCATATAAGGTGACGTAAAGTTAATTTTCTGTTCTTTAGTTTTTTAGTGGCCTCTAACATATAACAATATTAATGAATGGAAAATAAATATAATGAAAAATAATAGGCTTTTTGATCAAGAATATGAAAGCAGAGGAAAAATAAAAGAAGCAAAATCGTTTAGGAATATGAACACACATGCACATGCCAACGTGGGGAATTGTCACGGGCTGAGAAGCCACGACTTTTTTCTAAGTCGTAAAGTTTACCAACTTATGACCTACAAACAAGTTTTTAAATTTCAGTAATAAAAAGTAGAGAGCGAGACTTAAGATGGTTTTCAAACAATAAAAACCAAACATATCAGCTTTCATTTAAGAAAACTTTGGATAAGGTTTACATTTTTTTAGTCAGACAAATGCTCAAAAAATATTGGGGGTCCAGTAAATAATTTAAGTTGGAGCCCCTGTACCAAGAAACACTAAAAATATAATAGAAAAAAAACGACCAGCAATCCAGCTGAAGGTTTGCAAATTGAAAATCTGTAAGAAGAAGATAATAATTACATTAATTAATTGCCAGATTACCAGAAAATTTAGTTGTGGCTTTGCTAAACAGAAAAATATAAAAATATTCAAAAAAATTTCTGGCTTTGTCGGTTTTGTATTTTTTGTTACATATGCACAATGGCGGTTTGAAAGGCTATTTAACTGAAAGAAAATCAAAACTAAACACTTTTAAGACACTCAAAACTTCATTAGCTTATAGAGAGTAAACTGTGACACCTTCCTCTCTCAATCTTAAATAAGTAAATAAATTAAAATTCTTGTATCTTTCTTACAGATAAACTTTAATTGTTGTTTTGTGAACCTAAAGAAAAAATGTTTAGCTGAACTGAAAATTTGGCAAATTCCAATATTACGTTGCTTTTCTTTTTATAGTTTCAACAGCTTTTAATATTGGTAATTAGTTTTACAAACTTAGCATTACTAACTTCTAATTATCCATTTCATGGATTATCACCTCATCTTATAGGGCTTAAAGTCCTTAAACCAAAAAGAAACCTGTTGACAAGAAAAATAAATTGAAACAGATCCTTTCAGGGAAACTACAACGTCTGATCGATGTCTTCTATGCCTTCACGGCCTTCACTTAAAGTGACAATATTAAGAACTTAAATGAAGATAATTATACTGATTGCCAATTATTGATCAAATTCCAATTCTATAGACATTTATATGGTGCTCCCGCTTGAAAACCCATTACCTTTCACCTTCCTTCAATGCTGCCCATCAGTTCTTCGGCTGTTGAAGAACTGCGTCTTGCAGAGCTGCAGAAGTTTGCTTTTCGATTGCCGAACAGTGTGCTGTGCTGGGAAAAAGTGGTCGCTCGGTACAATTTTTCGCTGTTTATGGATAAAACGACCGGAGTTGCCACATAGTGAGGTGTGAAATTATTCCTAATTGTGCTCAAGTGTTTAATGACTGTTGGATAATTTTCTACAATGATCTCGGTGAGTACTTTATCAACTATAGGGCGTGTTGCTTCAAGCGGATTTTAAGATATTTATTTAGATTAAAGTGCAAGTTTTATTTAAGTTGATCATTCAATATCAGACAACCGGGTCTAGAGTTTCTTTTTGCCAAAGTATCTGGTTGCTGCAAATTTATCCTCCTACATTCTTCATTTATTTCCTCATCTGCACTGCAATTGCAATGTTTTGATCATTAAAATTGAGTAGGAATTTCATTTCTTCACTTTTAGTACTTTCACTAAAGGTCAATAGTTCTTTGAGTATCATGTGAAACGAAATTTTAAATTTTTTCTGATTTTTTTTCGTATCGGTTAAAATGCACAATAAAATTTAAAATTGTTATTTGTTTGCGCAGCAATAAAATTGCAATTTTCCTAATGTTTCTATAGCTGTCTTCCAAAAAAACTTTGTCTAATGTGTAAATTGTCCAAAAATTGATGCATTTCTGCACATTTCTTGTTTTGACTGGTTCTCTTGGAGCACCACCCAGAAGCTCTATTTCATTATAAAACTATTGTTTACCCCAGAAAAAGTTTACATATAAAAGAAATAAACTCTTGATTATTTATTTTTTTAATTAGATGACGAACCCGATTTTAGGAAAGGTCTTAAAGTAAAACCGGTGCATTTTCTTGCTGATGTGTACATATATTGAGGCTTTTGAAGGTTGTTTAGATAACCATTAAAATAGTTTTTCAAAAATCGTTCCATAAAGTTGTAGAATGCAATTTACATTTGATGTTTTCCTCATTGGAACTTGCAGTCAACACTCGTGCTATTTTAAATTTGAAAAATGACCGGAATTTTTTTTTACATTATTTAAGTTAATCAAGTGCAATTTTCTGGAAGCTTGCCACTTGAGATGTTCCTTTACACTTAATTACTTATTAAAAATACTTCATTTTGAATTGATTTTCTTTGTGAATACTTTAATTGTAAAAACGTACTCGTTTTGTATTGAGTTTATTTGCATTTGCACTGTACTGTTAAATATTATATTTAATCTTATTATCTTTCATTTAATTTTTCAAAATTCAATGACTGGGAAGTTTTAAATAATATTTTTTTCAAAATCGCTTATTGGTGAAGAGTGGAGCTTTTTTGCAAGTTTTTGCACCATTTTGAAAATATCAAAGAAAGCTACTTGTATTTTTTTGCCCCTCGATATGTCTTTCCGACCGCAACTGCGACTTTATTCCACGAAATAACCAAGTTTTCAGTTGATTCCTGTTCACATTATGAAATTATTTGTTTGAAATGCAGATCGTTCAACAAATACATTGATAAATATCCACAACAGCAATAATAAACGCAAGTTTATAAAAATACCTTAGAAATGTACATTGCAAAGTTGTATAATTCTCTTTCCATGCAACATCATGCGGAGGAATGATTCTCCATAATGATTAATGACGTAATATATTAAAATAATAAAAGTTGAAAGTATCGCTAGATGGGCAGCTAAAATAGAAGAACATTATATGACGGTGTTTTTCTAAACATCAACACAAATACAACAATCATGCCCAGTTCTAAAACGAAAAAAAAAATATTTTAAAGAGTCAGCTCTATAAAATACTAAATTGTAAAAATTTCTGTACTTATTTTGTTTCTTATATTAATAGATTTTTTACTACTTAAGTGTTTTTTACGCTTTCATTGAACACTTCTATTATTATCAAAAGAGATAGACTTTCGAGGCCATTCCTTGAAACAAGTGGGTTTTTCGGGTTTTTAGGCCGTCGTTCGGTAGAATTTCTTCTTGACGTTTCGCAAGCACGTGTGGCTTGCATCCTCAGAAGTGGTTTGCTTGAACGCTTACACTGTTCTGATGGCTTACACTTCTATTATTGCTCATATTTACTTATTATGACCGACGCGTTGATTCGTTAACTGTCTGTCTACTACAATTTCCGGCACACATACCGAGTGAATTATAAAAAGTGATTTACATATAAATGAGCGACACTCAAACGGATATAGGGTCCTTATAGTATCGAAGTTGACGGTATTTTACATGTTGTGTTTTTTATAGATTTCCAACTGCTTCAATTCCATAATTAATAACTAATCGATATCAATGATTACTGGATATAGTTTAATAGACATTTTTGCGTAAAAGTCGTTTGAGGCTCTTGATGTTAGAAAATGGTCATTTACGTGTCCAAAATACTACAAATACATCAACAATTTATGTGAGTTTTTAAATATTTTAAGGGGCATAATTTTAACAAAACCCCAGCAAGAAATCTATGCGGAAAAATTTCAAGAAAGTATATAATCTTTCTTAATATCCCAGTTCCCCCCATCTTCGACAAGGAAACCATTCCGGTTTAGTGGAAAAGGGCAAAGCGATTGTTACGATGTATTGCAAACAAAGGCACATAATTACTCAATTCTCTCCAAATACTCACTGCAGTTAAATTTGCGATCCCAGTTTGGCAAACTTGGTGAAATTATATAAAATTCTTTGCTAACTTTTGGGACACTGAGTTTCAATGGCTTGCCAAGCTCACCAAAAACGTTAGTCATGTTTCAACTGAATGGAATGCGGTCTTGGTGCTCGTATAGACTGTGTTATTATTAAATAACTAATAAATTGAGGTTTGCTAATCGGTAAAAATGGTTCGGGTAGTACCCAGAATGCGGTTCATAGACGTTTAGCAACCTGGCAGATTTATACCTACGGCAAAACACACCATTGCAAAATGCACCACCGCGATATCGTGTTGATAGAATACATTAGAACATATTCGTTTGTAATGTGAAAAGAAAGTTGTCACGCCTTCATGGGAAATGTAACGTGATTTTAACTGCTTGAACAAGACCGGAGCCCTAAAATGGAAAACTTTCCAATGGGTGAATGGATTTTTTATAGGCCTTACAATTTTTTTAAATAATAACGAAACCGCCAAACATTTGGTCTGCGTTCAATTACCAGCCAGATCTATAAATTCGACCAGTAATAAGAAAATTACAACCTGCTTAAAACACAGGTATTAGTAAATTACGTAAATTAAAAGCGACGGCGAAACAGTGCAGTTCAACTTGAGTTCCAATTATTGGTTTCAGCCAGTCACGTTTTCAGTACTACTCCCAGCATTCTCTTTTCGAATTTTTCAATAACCAAATACCATTTGGATTACTTGTTTCTAAAATCCACTGGCAACAACTAAATGGAAATATTTTATCGTTTGCATTACATTATTCACATGCACATGAGGCACGTTTCATTCCAACATACAACATCAGATTTCTAGAGTCAATAGTCCGATAATTGCAGACAGTTATTACGAGTATAAAAATGCATATTTTGCAAACGGAAATATTTTTTTACAATGACAGGGGAAGACCAAATAGTTTAATTGTAATTGCAATTGTCTAACTGAGCGTTTAATCGACGTATATTTTTCGTCTCGTTTTGACATGCTTATAAATATTACCATCGTTCACGGTGAAGTCGGACGATTTTTTGAGTCTTTCTTAATAAAAAGTTTAATTTTAACAAGATAACTTTTCGCTCCCACTAATTTTTTTTGATAAAGAGTGTCCAACTTCACACCTATGTGTGGGGTAAAGGCAGACTACCCTTAAGCGTTAAAAATGACCACCTAAGAGGGGTCTTCTTAATCATATAAGTTTCTCTTCTTCTTGTGAAATTAGGCACTGCCCGCCATGTTTCTTCGTATTTTTTCCTTTCTTCTTATCGTGTAAGGTGGATTTTAAAATTTTATAATCTTATCTAATCTGCAGCCTTAGACTTTTTCTGTCGTGTCGAATATTTCGGGTTCCAGACACAGAGGAACAGGTATTGGAGATAATTGCAGCAGAGCCTTCCAGGGGTACTCGAAAGCATTATTATAATATTATTAGCATTATATAACTGACACTTTCCCAGGCAACCAACAAATTTGGAGAAAGAGCATCATTAGTGTCACGTATGTAAGATAACAGAACACAAAGATACATTAAACCAATGGTTTACTGAACACCGGTTCAAATTGAGCAGGAGACAATAAGGTGGACTACACAGGCACTAACGTATGTTTATTTGTAAACACATCAATTCGAGGTTATGATGACTTTAAAGAACAGTTTCTCGTTGATAATATTGAGTTTCCAAAAGTACGTTCCCACATTCATCGAATCCTGTTGAATTTACTGTTTATCCTTGCCTATTTTGTTGTTACTTTCTTATTTTTCCAGGCTACCGGAGTTTTCAATAATTACGACGCAACAGGAATTGATGTTATATCAATTAGGCATATTAAATTGAAAAACATTGTTGCCGCCTTTCTGATATAGTTCTTTGCAAATTTCTGAGTTTTTAGCAAAAATTATTTGCTTTCCTATTTTTCTCTCTCTCCTAAACATCCCCAGACAACACCTCCAGATTAATGCCACCAATTTTGAATCACCCTATATAATTTCTGACATATTTCATTTTAAATAACACTAGAATAACATTCCGCTTTTATAGATCATTCTGCGGCAAATTGTTAGCGGAAACACTTAATTATCACGTTAAATTAGAAGATTAATAAAATTTAATTATATTAACATGAAAGTAAGCAATTCAAACTGATTTAAAAAACTTTAAAGTTATAAAATTGAAATAAAAATTAATAGTATCAGTTACAATATTGTACAGTAAGTAGAAAACATTTAACTTGAAGGAAAACGTGCAGCCAAAAGAAGTTTGAGGTCGCAGTCGGCAAAGTCCCCTTTAAATTGCATTTTAATATCAAAAGTAAAAGAAATACAGTTGACACATGAGTCAATGTCGTTAAGAAAACCACGATTAACAAATTTCGTATTACCGAAAATATAAATGTGTAAATAATAATGAAGTTTTTCAACAATTATTTTTTTATGGCATTCCGGATTAATTATTTTCCTATAACAAGACAAATTTTGAATTGTTTATTTGAGAAATTGCTAACAATCGCACAACACTCCATCTAATGGTTAAGAGGCAG